TGAACGAGCGCTCCGGTCACGTGCATCGGTTGGAATTGAGTCTGTATACGTAATAAAGTTTCCTGTCCCATTAATCGACCGTAAAATTTGTCTTCTGCGCGGCAGTCGTTTTCGCGATGCAACTTGGGAAATACGTGACGGCACGCGGATCTCGGTTCCCTCGTATGTGCACAGTTTCATTGAAAGTTTTCAAAAAGAGGGGAATATTACTTGATCTCGAAGGTACTTTGGTTTTTTTTTTTTTCCAGACTATCATTTTTCAAGATTTTTTTTTAAATTACGTTGCTCCGGTACCATTAGTTTTCAATGAAGGTAAATCTCATTTACATAACACTAATCAGCGGTGGCACGAACTTCCGCGAACAATTCGTCAAAACGTTGGAGTCGCGGTTTCATCGAGTTTATACGCGGTATTAATGGTGTTTTATTAGCTATACTTAATTCTGTAACTGCAGCCGAAATTTCAGACAGCCGCGCGTTCCAGCTAATCAAACGGTTCGATCTGTAATTTCGAGAAATCAGCAGCTAGTCGGATTAATCGATGTTTTACCGCGACTTTCGGTGCGATACATACGCATAGTATATACATTTTCCTCATTGTTACTCAATAAAACGCGCTATAACCCGCACCGGAGGGTCTATCATAACTCCAACTAGTTTTTCATCAACACTAAGTAGATCGTATTTACGAGAAGCATTTTATATGCGTTATCCGATGGTCCAGAAGCTAAATTGATTAACCATCGGGTACCCGCTGGAATTCGGTTTATGGAAGCATGTATGTTGCACTCGACGCGATGTGAAATATAGAGCTCGCGTTGCTGTAGGTACAGTCGAACCGATTTAGGAATTCGGTGATTCGTATCTATCTCGAGTGCCAGGCATTTGATTGAAAATAATCATACCATTTTTATCAGTACTGAGTAGTTGAAAAAAAAAGGTTTTTATTTTGGGTATTAACTATTAAAAATACGTGTTCAAAAGTATGAGATATTACAATACGTAGAGATCAGTGTAAAGAATTGCGTAGCGTTTATGCATAATTTCACGCACACTCACGTTATCTTTTTATTCTTATTATTTATTCATTTTTTTTTTGTAATAAACGTTATTTAAGGAAATTTTATAATTTTTTAGATTTTTTTGAACAATTACTTTTTTGAAAGTCCAAACAATGTATGTAAAAAAAAAAAAAAAAAAGCCAGGGGACCCAAAACCTACAAATGAGCTTATTTGTTTCTGTTCAACTACGTCTCTTTACAGGAAATCTTGTGATCTTTCAGATTTTCTCACATGAAACGTCTTGAAACAGCGATGAAAAGCTGAAAAATAAAATAACCAAACTTCAAAAATCGATTCAATTTAAAAAAAGGAGGGGGAACCAATTTTTTTTGGATAGTGATGAGAATCACAAAACAAACCAAAATATCCATTTGAATCGATATTGTTCGTGGGAATTATCAAATATAATCGATGACGCACATTAACACACAGATAGACCCCTTTTTGCCAGAGTAGTAAAGTTGTACTTTAATTTTAAAATTCAGCTTCCCCCTTGGGAAAATAAAAAAAATTATCAAAAATGTCACCGAAACAATCGTATTATTTTTCATTCTCAAATTATTCAGTAAACATTGCTATCTTTCATATAATATAGATTGACACGTACACATTATCACAAGCACACAACGTATACACCGGCATTTTTTTAAATGAAATTGATTATCAGCTTATTGTACAATACCACGCGAGACCGCATCTTTTAATTACTATGTGTCCACAATACCACCAATGAAAAGTTGTGCCTCTATGCAATGCAATAAAAACATTTCATTGAACTCCCATTGACGAAGCGGTTTGTTGTATTTCCGTGATTATTCCACACTCACCGATGAGAAATAAATACGCGTCAAGTCAAACAGCTCGATCGGATCTTAATTAAACTGCTGTCTAGCGTTGCGAAATCGCTTCCCGGAGCGTCTCGATCGGGACGAACATTTTTCTGATTACGTTTATTTTTTTATTTTTTGGTTGAAAAATGAACAACCCACGTAAGCAGGATCCGACGCTTCGAATATCCTCAACCCCCTCGCTTGATTCGTCTTACGTAACAAAATATTATACTTGGGGATAATGAAAATTATGGAAAAATCGCACGTGTATACTTTTGCTATAAACTTGAAAAAAAAACGAAAAAATTGCACTTCCCCCCGTTTATAGTTACATAAAACATATAGACACACGTGTCCCAAGGTACACAACAAAGTAAACTAAAGTAAAGCTACCGTAAACTGCGGGACATTAAATTTTTTTCAGCATCACGAAAAAGCCCGTAAACTCGGACACTTTCTCAAAACACATATAAACACGTAATGGTCATAATGGCCTTTTCACAAGCTTGTCATAACCAAGCATATATAAAAAAAAAGCCTAAAAACTCGGCAAAGTTGATATTGAAAAAGTCGCCTCGTCCCTCCGCAGTCCCTTCGTAGTAGGTCGCGCAAGAAAGTAATAGCCGATGCATTACGACGCGCGCTCGATGCACGATTCCGCACCAGCGCAGATATTACCCGCTCGCGGAAAATCATAAAGATGGAACGATCGCTCGAGAAAAGGGGGAAAGAAAAAAATCGGAAAATACGGCAAGCGCCGGTCTTCGATGTAAATCACTTCCTCGTTCGTGCCACGTGGGAGCACGAGAAAAGACTCGGTGCGTATAAAACCGATCCCCTCCCACCCCCGTAAGCCTCTATACATCTAAAAGAGCGCCGCTGCCACCAGTTTTTCTTTCCTCAGCCTCCTGCACTATTATTATTATTATTTTTTTTTTTTTTTTTTTTCAATCACCGCAGCCGTAGTAAGCGATACGGCTCTTTTTTCCCTCCCGATTAGATGCGAGCATCGTATACACTTCTCCGTCGATTCACCGGTGAAAGCACTCCCCGCGAGATTCACGAGGCATGCACGTGTATGGGTATAAACAGTCGTGGTCCGCGGCAACTGATTGACCCGTGCCGTGGAAAATCCACGGAGAGCCGGCGATCGTAGAAAGTAATGCAAACGCGACTAAATTAGGCGCGTAGAAAGCGACTCGCATGGGCACGTGATATTTTGTGTAAATCGAGTGACTCGGCAATAAGCACCAGAGAGTGACGGACGAGGAAAGGGATACGGCTATGAGCCGACAGATCCTTGGCGATGATAGCGAGGAAGCGCGAGGAGGCGAAAATAAAGATTTGCACGAAAACTAAGCTCGAGTCGATGGTTTTTCAATCGTGCCTCGCACAGAGGGGATATAATATTTTGTTACTACAGGCGAAGTAGGTGCTTGGGTTACGTTGGCGAAATGGAGATTTGGAAATCTACAAGGGGATAAAAAAAAATATTAATTGCCCATTGAAAGGTATAAGATTTAATTGAGAAACCATAGCGCGGTAGGATGGTGTTTACGGCTTCTTTAATTTACCGATAAACACGTTGGGATGCACCTATATTGTTTTCGGAATCTCAAAAACTTCGATTTCTCGCGTGGAGTGGCGTTGCTGAAATATTCAACTATTTTCAATGCTCACCAGCTTGTATATTTAATTCACAAAAAATATATTCCATTGAAAAATAATACTGTGTTGAAAGGAGTGAGTCAAGGTTAATTAGTCTGCCGTTACATGCCGGGGATACCATGATTGCCCTTGTACCTATCACGCACGCAGCTCCTCGGCGAAGGAAAAAAAAAAAAAGCTAAAAATGTGTACAACCCATGAATAGGATATCTTGTGTTATTCGCATAATAGAGACAACTAGCAGCGAGCGATCGACGGACGAGAGCATCGCGTCATTGAAAAATGAGGCCACAAAGGAGGCGCATCGACGTATACGATTCTCTCGTGTAATAACAACATCAGCACCTGCCTAAGAGGGAATAATACGCGTAACGAGGAGGAGGGGAAAAAATGTCGATGGAAAATGAATAATGCAAACTCATACGGAGAAGAAAAAGGAGAAGCGTTGGGAAAGGCTCGCGGGTTTTTTCACCATAACATATACCACTACCGCGGCATTGTCACTTTCGTAATGATAATTTACGCGCCGCTGGATCGACGGGCCTTCGCCTCGATCGTATTTGCATGTGCCCTCTCCCCCCCCCCTTCCGACGAGTAAGCACATTATTCACATACGCATCGCGCAAATAGCGTCTTTTGTTTCGCTTACAGGGGAGGGGGACTCGTAAAAAGATAATGAGTTTTTGAAATAATGAAGACGCGCTGTGCGGTTTTCAAATTTATTTGGTGCGTTTAATCGACGTTGTTTACGTCCTCCACACTTGCCGGCATCCTGAGCTCGACTGGGTGATGAAAGAAGTATACCCCCACAACCCACGAGGAGATATTTTACAAGACACGCTCGTTAATGACCGTCTAACGGCGATAGGATTTAATGCGATTCGTCGTTTACGTGATTGCGGGATGAATATTTTTAATGGACGTCGAATTTAGTTCATAAAAATATCCATGGTGTATCATGTCGACGATGAAAAATAAAAATGGTTTTAATTGCATTGGCTCCGAGTTGTGAGTGATTTATGTCCGAATCGCGTGAACTCGGGCACTTCCTTTGGATATTTTTGTTTTCCAAATAGCAAAGGCATGGAAATGGGACTTGATATATAGATATTGTGGTAATTAGCGACGATTAGACGTAACCGAATGATTTTTAAGGGCGAGAAAAAAAAAATTTACGTTTTCTAAAACGCCTCGTTTGCTTTATCCATAAACAAGAGTAAGTATATACGCGTGTATATATACGTATAGCCTTACAATGGGACTTCCTTGCAATAAACAGCACTAAAAATGACAGTGAAAGTTCCCTTTGCAAACGCGTGTATACGTATACTTGTACGCTTACGTGCACTTTTCCAACATTAATATACTACACCCGCGTTGGCGCGCGAGTTTAGTGCGAAATTTAATTTAATGCGAGACGAACCTTCTCTTTTGTTTCAGATGGAGCTACCGTTCCCCAGCAGTCAAGAACCGGTTACGAGGTAAAGTATCCATGCATATATACATACAAACGACGTATTTTCTTTGCTCTGTAAGAAAGGGAAAATAAAAAGAGGGGGGGGAGGGGGCAGAAAACCAGATATTACATCCGTAGTGTCACTTTTGTGGGGCATCGGTATGGCACTGAGCGATTCTCGATTGTGGAGAACAATACAATAATGTACACGTGTGGGCGCGCTAGTGCTCAACATCGATAGCGTGGATAGTAGAGGAATCTCGATCGGCGGTCCGTGGAGCGATAAAATCATAAATTCTGCATCCCACGAACTACACAGCTGTGTATATATGCGTGTAAAGGATAAGAATCGGTCGATTGCGTTACGCGATTCATAGAAAGCATACGGGATCGGATCTTTCGACGATTAGCCCTCGATTTTCGGGTGGTTGAATATACGTTTGGTATCCGAGAAAAGTATTGTGTGCACGCGCTTACGAAACGATTTGGGATTCGGTGCAGCTCTTGTAGTACACATTCTTTATCTGATTCTTTGGATATAAAGTTGTAAAAGTTTATTGTTTCCATGTTATGAAACTTCTTGAATTATGATTTTTACCGAAAGAGAGTATTAATTTAAGAGAGAAAAATTATGATGAAATCTAAAAATGGTGTATATTTGTACCACATTTTGATTGGATGGTGATGAAAACATAACTAATTTCTGTTGCAAAATATTTTATTTTTTAGTCTCAAAAAGCAGATAGACGCCATTGATAATACAAATAAATTAATAAAATTAATCATACAAATGAAAAATAATCTTTTGTCCTCGTCAGCCTTTCTCAAAATGTTTTGGATAAATTAAAATGTGTAGAGATCCTACGAGGACTGGTTATAATTAATGATACATTACTCATACAGATGCAGTGCAATTTTTTTTTTTTTCTATTTGAGGAAGTAAAAAACAATTAGCGCATCTCTTGGGATCTTCATTATTTTAATTACACGATTTGATCGAAACGCCGTTGGCCTAATCGGAAATAACTGGTAGAATCGTTTTAATGACTTCCATCAAAACGTAGGACGAAAGGAGCAAATTGCACCGAATCGTAAATTTTCTCTTGAAATTACGACAATCATAAACGAATTAGGCCCTGCGAGATGAATTATGGGAAGAAAATCCCGTATACCTACATTACCTACCCGCGCTCAACTTAATAAAGACACTTGAAAATATACAATCCAGGAAGAAGATATATACCTGCCAAGCGATTTCTAAACCATATCACCGAGGGATCACGTAATCGCAGAGATTCACGAGTATACACGGGACGTTTTCCTCTTACACGTGTATTCCTTGCACATACAGCGTCTTCCAGTATACAACTTTTATGCCCCTCGATATTCATATAACTTACACCGCGAGACATTAAGTGCCGCATTAATCTTGTTCACCTGTGATACCCCGGCCACCGTAATTCCGAAAAAAAAAACTTTACGACTAAAATTTGCAGCTTTTAATCGCGCGGGGATTATTATTGTACAAATAGAGGCAAAACGAGGGGCAATTTGCAACGCGATACTTATATATACATACAGGAGGCACTAAAAATCACTCCCGAGTCCTACACACCGGAAACCGTACGTATACAAGCCGCGATATAAAAAAAGACATCAAACTATCTCCGTGGCCATACTCTCGTACAGCGAAACTACCTCGCGACGATCATCAATCTCTCGGTGCTCTGTCCCACGACCTATACGCAATCACAATTTGTCTTGGATGCAGATACATTGAAATCGGTGAGAGATCGGTTCCAAGAAGGTGACTGGAGTCGCCTCGTTAGGGCTTTGCAAAATAGAGATCTGTTTTCTAAAATAAGAGAACGCCAAGGCGAGGGGAAAATTTTCACGTGGGACCGTGAGTGCATTTTTTTTTCTTGGTAATTATAAACTATAAGCTCAGAAAAAAAGTCACACTCGGAGTTGCAACTATTACTTACCTGAATTATTTTATTGAATACAATAGCGGGCAATTTTTCAATCATCCGCGTTATTTTGATAGAGCAACGATAGTATGCCGTTTCTTCATAAATACAATAACGGTAATCACGATCCGAAGTGCATGAGCAATGTTTCGGCTCGTGGTGTCGAAACAAATAACGTTGGTTCTTGTGAATTGTTACCCGTATATAGTTACCAAAACCGCGGTCTATTGCATCGTGCATTATGTAACGCAACAAAAGGTACCAATCAAACTTACTTTTTGCAACAAAGTAAAGATCAAATCGATAATTGTTTAGCATCCCCGTGTAGAGGATAGTGAGGACTGATGGGAAAGAAAAAGTGTGTCCTCTTATCCTCAAAAAACATTATTTGTCCGGTCTAATGCAAACTCGCGGTGTAGAAAGAGACAGTCGTACCGTCACACAGACCCAGCAGATTCGTAACAATACTATAGGCGCGCCTGCCCGGCGTGTTGCAACTGTTGTTCGCCTCCACTCGGGTGTGTAAGATATGCGCTTTATTTGAGGCTCGTCAACTGCCATGGTTGTTCGTGTGGGTGAGAAAGTACAAAACCAAGGGGGGAGCCAAAGATAGGGCAAAAAAGAAGAAAACGCGCGAGCGCGCCTGTAATTAAACTGTCCAGCTGCAATTAAAATTCCATCACCCGGTCGCCGTGCCTTTTTTCGCGTGTACCTACACTACGGACAGGCAATAAACGCTCTCTCTCTCTCTCTCTCATCGCGCTCGGAGTGGCTGTTTGCACTTGGACTGGCCTCGAAAAATATGCCGGTCTCGTTAGGGGATTCAACGATATTACGTGCAAGGGATTACCGGATTAAAACATTTCTGGGTCTCGTTTGACAAATTTCTGCCTCCCAAATGTTTTTACTCCTCGTTGGACGAAGGGGTGACGTTTTTGTATGGTTCGGTTATTATATATATTACATGTAAGCTTTAAAAAATAAGTGCTCCAAACGATCTAGTTGTGCTTCGATTACTCAATTCGTACACGCGAACTTTATAGTTATATACACTATTCATACAGTTCCCTTTGGTACTTAAGGAGCTCGAGGGTGGACACGTACTTTAAACTGCGTGTTGCCCTTTTTTTCTTCAAACGCAACAGTACGTATACGCTCGAGTACAAAACGTTCCCTTGCAGGACTCGGAGGCAGCGGCATCGGAGACCGGAGGCGCGGAGGAGGCCTACGATGACGGGGACGACTCGGACATGTACATGGAACCGGACGGCGCTGAGAGCGCCCACGCCGACGCCAGACACGAGCCCGAGGACCCACCACCGCTGCACCACCAGCATCGCGACGAGTCCGAGCGGCCCACCATGCCCCACATGACCATAGTCGCGGTGCGGCCGGCCCAAACCTCCATCCAGGTGACCTCCAGCGAATCCACCGAGACATCATCCTCCTCGTCGACACCCACAGCGTCCGGCCAGCCGGAGGAGCGCGAGGAGGAGCGCAGCCTCGAGACCGACAGCCAGAACTTCTTCCCGTCGTTCGCCGAGCTGTTCGGCGGGCCTCGGCTCCCCTTCACCGAGCACCAGCAGCAACAGCAGCGCTACCGGCCGAGCCGCTTCCTCGGCTACTTCCAGCGCGACAGCCGTCCCTACGCCGTGGCCGCCTCCTCGGCCAAGGAGGGCCACCAGCCGGCGATCCTGGGCTCGGGCAACTTTGGCGTCATCCGTGGTGGCACCTACTACCCCGAGGACAAGGAGACCGACGAGTACGGGCTGGAGGACGCGCCGGGTTACGGCCCGTTCTACCACGGGGCAGGTCGGGCCAGGCCCTCCTACTACAAGAACCCGAAGCCCCAGCCCGTCCACGGGGGTGACTTTTTCGCCAACTTCCGGGACTTTGCCGATATAACAGCGCCGCCCAAGTCGAGCTTCTCCCACCTGTCGGTCGTCTACGCCAACAAGAACGGCAGCAGCGCGGGTCGGGCGCCGGTGGACCAGCCTAGGAACATCATCGAGACCCTGAGGATGCTGGAGGAGGAGGAGGAGGCCGGGACGACGGAGACGCCGCCCCAGAAGAAGCTCAGCCAGGGCAAGAGGAAACTGATGAAGATCAAGAAGTACCAGGACGAGAAGGCCAGAAAGTCGCGCATGACCATCGAGCCCCTGCTCGCGCTCAGCTGAGCTACTCGCTCGCGACGATGAGCTCATGTACCTATACTGTCAAACGTGTTGTCATTTTTTTTTTTTTTTTTCCCTTCACCGGTCATTTTTTTCGTTTCATCGCGGCGAACCGAGTTTTTTTTTTTTTTTTTTTTTGTTGTCACGTGGAAGGATCCCTTTATCAAATGCTGTTAAAATTCTCATTCGCGGACGATCGAGTGTGATGACCTTTGCATTTCGATCGTTCATGGCATTTGGAAGTGGGTTTGTTTGGCTCGTGACGGTCCATTTTCCGACTTTCGAAAAGTCAGATGACACCTTTTTTTTCCTTCCCGAGGCCTCGCGCGAAAAAGTAAATCGGAATAGAAAGAAAAAAAATGCCCCGCGTGCCTATCATATACACACACCACAAGTGATGTCTTTCGCATTTTTCATCATCATAATCATCGTCATTTCTTGCGGCGTCAGAAATCCATTTGTGATTTCTCGATCTGCTGCCCTGTATGCGTACGTATTAGTGTTTAAGAAAAATCGTCGATATGGAATGGTTATTGTATATTGTATCAGACGGAGATTTTTGGGCGATATTCGCGTGGTTTCCGAACGGCGCGAGTATCGCGAAAATTTCCATCCACTATTTTTATACAAGTTTAGAGTGTATTTATCTATAGAGCTCATCTACCCTACACTATATGTAATTTCTTGAATATTTAAAAAGCGACAATCTACCTACCGAGTTTGAAGTTTTATCGAAAATCGAAAAAAAAAAAAAAAAAAAAAAAAAAAAAAAAAAAAAAAAAAAAAAAAAAAAAAAAGTAGTTCCAAGACTGAGTTTTTTTTTCATTTTCCGCCAAGTTGAAATTTTACGTACTACGCAATAAATACTGCTTTTTTAAACTACATATACATATATCTTACTATTGTACACCAGAAATGAAAAATTACATACATGAGAAGCAAAAACGAAACAAAAAAAAACGCGTCGTAATTACGAGCAAGTAAGCGATTGTCGTTGAGTAACGAAATATCTCACGGACATGCGAAACACGAGAGAAAGAGAAAACAGATTAATCGAAAAAAAAAAAAAAAAAAAGAAGCAGAGCAAATACTTACACTAGTATAATAGCGACGGAACTCCGCGCATTGTAGGTATGCAAGCGAAGCGCCCTTGGAATTCCGCGGCTACTGCGCTGACCTTCGCCGGGAGACAAGATCTCGAGCAGCCCATTAACTAGAACGCGTGGGTGGCAAAACCTACCGCTCATTGTATTATAACCGTACAGGGAGAACATTTTCGAAACACGCGTCATTACCTTCTTTTTTTTTTTTTTTTTTTTTAAATCTTTGTAATAAAATCAATGAAATAAAGTAATCGCAAAAAATTTATTCACATTCTTACCATAAAACTCACAATTTCACTGTACAAAAAATACCGATATATCAGAGTATCAAAAATATCAAGAAGAAAAAAAAACTCGTGAAAGATCCTGTGTGCATTTTTATTATGTTTGTTGTTGACTATATATTGTAGCGATAGACGTAGATATTATATCCGTGGAGCGAAAAACATTGGAAACCCCTACACACAGAGTAAAATTTGAAGAAAAAAAAAAACCCCCCCAAGAGTATAACTACACTTACGAAAGCAAACAATAATTTGCCCCCTCCCATGAATTGGCGGTGTCGAGACAAAACCGTATAACATAAAAAATATAGATGTACCACGTTAATTTTGTAAGATCACCATCTATATACACACACATGTCATGTACCCTTCGAGTGATCTTTCATCGTATCCGCGGCCAGCGCTCGGCAACAACAGCCGTCCCACGAGCTACTTCATTATTTTACTCATCATAGATATCATTTTGCCGATGCCCTCGTGAATGTCGGCATTTGTGGCGCAAGAGTCCATGAACGCCGGGGTGGTAAAGACGTTGTGTTCCTTGCACTCGGTCGCCCCTTTCGCGTCTTGCATGTCAATGTTGGCCCCCATCGACTTCGCCTGCTCTATCGCTTCCGAATTGACGTACCGTTCCTTGGGACCTGTTGTTTTTGTTGTTATTAACGATCACGCGTGGTGAGCGCATCGATCGGACGCGCCGATGAAAGATCACGAGAACTTAATCAAATATCATTATAATATTATATATTATGTATACATGTAATTTTTAAATGGTAATTTTTGTAAATAAAACATAAACTTATGTACAAACGAGGCGTCATTTTCATTTGGATCCCGAATTTCAGGGAACAAAAATGTATACTCACAGTCCTTCCCCAGAGTCACCCTCGCTCCCTTGAGAACCTTCGGGATCAACGCTGCCGCTATGCAGATGCCGCCGATCGGTTTGTCCTGGCAATTGAACTCCTCGATGATTCTAATCAAATCGGGGAGCAACACGCAGTTGCAGCCTTTGGCGGCAAAATCGCTCCTGCGGAAGATGAAGAGGAAATTGATAAGCTGAAAAAAGTTTAAAAAAAAAAAAGAAGGTGTAAAAAGTACCCACAGTGTCCTCCCAACGCCAAAACCACCGGGAATGACGAGGCCCGCGTGCTCGCACGCCGAGCACTCGCAGAGCGACTTGATGTTACCCCGAGCTATGCGCGCGGCCTCGACCAGGGCGTTCTTGTCGGGGCAGGCCTCGACGTCCTTCGTCAGGTGATTCATGGGAGAGCAGATTTTCATGTCCGGCGCGAAGAAGCGGGTCTCGTAGCCCTTGTGGCTCAGGTGGATCATCGCCGACACGGCCTCCGAGACCTCCGTGCCGTCCAGTACACCGCAGCCGCAGAGGATCTATTTTTTGTTTTTTGTTTTTTGTTTTATAAACGTATCGGTTCGTGAATCGAAATGAGGAAAAAAACAACGCGGGTGACACGGATGGGCAGTGGGTGCAAAAACAGCTTCCCACGGGAATGATGTCGATCGCCACATCAGATTTGTTGCCTATACATTCGATGCTTGTATACATACGATGGGGTGTATCGCGCATCGACGCGTTGGTCTCTACTACCCCAGTGTTATCTCGAGATGAAGAGATAAGTTTTCAGGTAATAGATGATTTGTTTATTTGTTTACCATCGCCACTTTTTTGGGTCCGCATCGACACGATTTTTTCTTGTGATTGATTTGACTCGTGTGCAATAGGTTAGCCGTCGGTGCTGTGACGAATTTCGCTGCATTGTTTAACAACAGTCGCGCAGTTGCCGAGTACGGGAGCATATTGTTGCTGGCGGTTGATACTTTCACTTTTGAATTTTGATTTTTTTTGTTCCTTCTTTTTTTGTATTTACGTTACAGCAACTCTTTCATGGTAAATTTATCGGGGTTCGGTGAAAAACGAGAATTTTGAAACTTTTGGCGTATACGAGCCTACCGAGTGAATGTAACTGTTTTTGTCGAGATATTTTGTTTTAAAAGTATATGCAAACTGTAAACAACAAAATCGAAAATATAATTACGCACTGTTGATTCCTCTGGTGAAAATAGCGCAAACTACGTGTAAAATTTTTTTAAATTGGCAACTAGAACCGACGGATGGTAACCACAAGCTGCAGTAGGATGCTTACCCACAGCCGGTACACGCTCCCCGCCCAACAAGAGCGTAGTGAAGGTTCCCATCGACGAGATGGTAGCACCATAAAAATAGTCGGCGCCACGGACTGAAATGGGATATAAGCTGGTGTATAAGGTAAGCAAAAAAAAAAAAAAAAAGATTTGCGTGAAAGATAGCACCAGCGCGGGAGGGGTGCTTAAATTAGCATCGAGGCACGGAGGCGTGCGACTCTCGTACTTTACGACGCGGCGCGTAAACCTTTATTGTGCTCGAGGAACAATTTTCGCTCAGACTATGAATATCAAATACAAAATTCGCCGGCTGCTCGCGGGAGAGATTCAACAAAGCGGCCGGTTGGAAGGATAAATTTTGCTCGGTACGTGTTTTGGGCAATAAAAAAACCAAAGTCGGGTGTTTACGCTCGGGATATTATTTTAGTACGGGTTTACTGTACGAGTGACGGGTCGTAATCGTAATTTGACGGGAAATTGCGAGGCAACTGTGGAAAAATGTACTCTACAAACCTCTACACGCTCATAGGAGTAGATTGAGTGTACTTTGCGGAGCGTACGTATGATTTTCACGCAAATTCTGTCTCATCTTGCGTTGTCTTTAATTTTCTAACTTTATACGCTCATTTGACATTTTCATAATCCAGTAAAATTCATTGGTGAACCAAACCATATATATATAACAAAATAATGTTGTAGTCCTGAAGGAAAACAAAATTAAATTTTGCTACTTTAAATTATCAAAAATCATCTGCTAAACTACGATGCCTCATAGTCAAAAAAACACCACCCATATCTGTGTATATATTTTTTGCAATACATCCAATTAGTTAAAAAATACTTATGCCCGAAGATTATGATGTCATAATTTCTAAGTGTGGGTAAAAGTTACAGGTACTACAATTCATACGATGCACATATTATAATATAACTACTACACGTGCATGAAATTAGCATGAGTTAAAATCATGGCTCGAGTCCTCAGAAAAATTTCGGTGCTCGTCTCTTTTACCATCCGACCTAAATAGCCGAACATATATTCCACACTTTCTAATCACCCAAGGGTATGCTGTCCTGATATAATCGATCATGCATCATGCAAAAAAAAAAAAAAAAAAAAATTCCCATCAATCACTACCCACCGATGAAATACAAATATCACGTATCCAAAAAACTATAACAACGAGTGTTAAATACATAAATAAATAGTTGAATGAATGCACAGATGGTCGACCAAGCAAATAATCGTATGCAAACGAGCAAAAGCGACACCCGCGAAACCCCTTCGTCAAACGTCCACCGTTGCATCCTCGCGCGCCCTTCCTGTCAAATCATCACCCCCGCGACGCGCGCGGAAATGAGTAATACGCGCGAGCGAGCGAGGAAGTGACGTCGAGGCTTTATTCTAATTATCAACTCAAGACGAGGGCACCCAGGAGAGCCCTGTACACACACCAGCCGCTTGTCACTTTCTTCGATCCCTCCTCCCGCGACGCGTCGCATAATCTTATGTAAATCCCGTCCGCGCCTCCCCCTCACGCGTAAGTATACCACGCTCGCACGCAAGCATATCTCATATCCCGATGCATACGATTATCGCAGGTGGAAGGAGAGGGACGCGTGTCAATAGGAACAAAAAAAAAAGTAAAACTTGTACGTGCTCGCCGAAGAGCCGCCAATTGAATCCAATCATCTGATTATCGGGAAAAAGCTTTGCCAATTACTCTCTGGTCGTTTGCATGGCAAGTTCCCTAAAAAGCCTAATCTGGCAGTGGGTGGGGCGTGTTTTGCGAGTCACTTAAATTCAAGAAGAAGACGAAGAAGAAAGAAGGGACGAAAGCATCGAGGCCCTGTGTTGTTCGCAAATTTATGTAAACAGCTCGTATAAACAGATGCAAACCGCCCTTGGTTGGCGGGCGTTGATCACGCGTGTGTAGTTCCGTCTGGCCCCTCGGCAAAAGTATATCGGAGAGACAGATAACGGCGTATCACGAGGTACGAGGCTTAGCCGAGCGAGAATATATGTATGGGAAGAGTGTCTTGGTCGTGCACTGGAGAAGCGGAGGGGGGGGGGGGGGGGAAGGGATACACGTCGAAGGGCCTGCAGGAACGAACTGCCGGGGCTGCGGAATTACTCGGCCGGGTCTCTCTCCCCCTCTGCTCCCCCGGGGCCGAACTTGTCCTCGACAATTTCAAACTTATTTTAACATTCATATAAGCCTCCCGCTCCCTTATACCTGCCCCGCTTCCTTCCCCCCTCCTCGCAGTTAGGCCTCGTCCTTTCCTCGCTCGCTGCTCTTTTCTATACACATATACACTCCACTGCGCTCCTGCTCTTCGCCTTTTTATCTTCCACTCTAGCTGTGTCTATTTCACACTTTTTTTTTTTTTTCTTTCCCTTCTTTTCCTTTGTTTTATCCTTTTGCTTCCACTGGAGAATTATTTTCCTTGCGCTGGACGCGCGTGTGTATACTTACCGCCTCCCGTCTCCAGGTGTGGCTTTAATGCTTTTTTAATTCATTTTACATTTCGAGCCCAAGCGTACGCTTTACAATGAATGCAAATACACGCATTCGACGTCCGACCAAAAACGCTCTGTTCTACTGATTTTTGGGCTGAAAGGCTCGATTTTGTCATTTACACCGGGTTCGAATCACATTTGTCTCATCGGATTGACGAGGGGTGTAAAAAAAAGTTACCCACGAAATCATCGGAAGCTCCTTTTTCTTTGGGGGGGAAAAAAAACGATCCGACCCAATGGTTCGCATCGTCGAGGCTCAAGGCGCGGTGATAAACGATACCGAAATAATACCACCGGCGAGAATCCGCCCATTTGCGCCTCGTTGCTGCAGATTATTAATGACAAAGCAACGTGTCACTCTTCTCTAGCGTACACGCGCGTGTATAATAATTGCGCCTCGCATCAAAAGGGAGATTGTACGCGGTGCCGATGCATTCGATATGTATAAATCACTGGCTGTCCGAGCAGGGGCTCCTTCGCTCGTAATTGGAGGGTGTACGTTTTTTTTCGTCCTCCGCGCTGCTCATTATCCCGATGCGACTCTGAAATATGAATCCAGCACTCGGGCAAACGAAGCCACTCGCTCCGAAAATCGAGTTTATCCGGATAGGTAAAAAAAAAAAAAACAAACAAATCACGCAACCCATATTTGACACGCGACGAATCCCTCCCGCGCGCGATCCAATAAACACCTGTGGAAATGAAATTTCGCTCGGCTCCCCCGTCCTCGCGTCACTACCGCGTGTGTACACGTGATTCTCTCACGCCGCTGGTGTCAGCAGCGAAATTCTGACGTGTGACGGGCAGAGGCGCGAGATTGGCGCTCCTGAGAGAGACGAGGCACCGCTTCATTCAATTAGCCACTCGGTTACTCGCGTCACATCACGTTTGCCCCGAACGTCGGCTCCTCTCTCTCTCCCCCTGGCACGTGCTTTTGCCCGCAGGTGACGCGCCGCAGCGGAGCACAGGGCAAACGTCACCCCTTCAGGAAAGTCGCCGCGGGCCACGGTGTGTACGTATAATACGCGTGTCGCGCGTGATTTTCGCCGTAAGGCAGCCGTCTTTGCTCGGCCCCAAGTTTACGACGTGTACCTTCCCACCAAAGTTTTGGGACTTTGAGCTCGCGGGAATTATACTTGGAACACACGTGCCATAACCCAATCAAACGAGGAAGCCCTTTCTTGAATCACAGTCAACACGCGGCAGCAACAATAATGAAGAGGAGCTTCGCGAGACATTTATCAACTCCTTTTCCGATCCCCGGGGTTATACAAGCATCTATACATGATGCATCGGAGTGTATATATGTAGCGGAGCGTGTCTCGTAGCTTTGTTGTACCGACACGTCAGATGGCTCGAGCTATGTCCAACTAAATTGGTATAAAATTGTCGCGAACGAGTTCCAAATGGAATAATACCTCGGTAGCCCGATATATATAAATACTCAGAAAGTCAATCAAGGGGTGGTCGTCGAGATCGGTAAACCACCCGAATGATCGGTACACGAGGAGCCTAATCACAGCAGAGCTTGCCGATCGAACCAAATTCCAGCCTCGTGGGAGGGCCCCGGGTGTGCGCGTTGGCTACACTACGTGGGTTCCGGATGAGCGGCTCGATGTATATACGTGCTTCTGGTGATTTTGATTCGGCTTCCGGTCACGCCCCCCCCCCTCCCCCTCTCGCGTAATTGTTCCGAGCCTCGCTGTCCGTCCGTCCGGGTGGCCTGCCAAGCCGGTAAGTGCGATTGCCTTCGCGCCGGGAATTCGTAAGCAGTTCACCCGAGGAAGAAAGGTTGCGGAGGGCTCCGGGGAGGTCGAGGCGTTTACTCGAATCGCTGATTTTCCGCAGTGCAGTCAGGGTGTAACCGTCGGCTCGGCAGGTTTTTTAAGCGTGGCACCTGGTGGATGGATATTAATGCGTAGGTCCAGTTTTAAAAAATAAACAAAAGGCCTAAAGTTGGCCGTGTCCAGTGGCGGGATCATTTCTCGCTCGGAGAGTCCCCCTAGGGAGGAGTGGCTTCCAAACTGCTCCCTTCCTTTAATTTTCAGCGCGATCGAGCATTATTTGTCGCCGCCCTTGTCGCGGATATGTCAAGGTGCCGTGGTGACTGATATTGAAAAGTTTTTTGTTTTTT